GTAATGTTTCTCGTCTGTGTGCCATCTTTATCAACAAGAAACGAGGCAGCGTTTAATCGAAGGTCAGTTTACTGCAAGAATGGCTTGAACAATCTGTAACTATTGTAAAATCAGCGGAAGCGGCTACGTTTAACAGAAATATTCCAAACTGAAAACATTCAACTTACGCTGGGGCCAGAAAATCCAGGAAAGTGAAATATTTTGGTGCATTTTCCGAGATTAGATCAGTAAACTTTAAGCCCACTCTGAGCAAATATCTATTTACTATTCCACATCAACTGTAAACGTATGCTTATCAACGTCAGCTAAATAAATCAGTAAACACTATGGTGTTGGTCAATGTCTGGATACTTCAATATTCCTTTCTCTAGGGATCAAAATAGGCTCTATGTTGAATTTGGAACAGCCTGCTGTCGCTTATAATCGGCCAAAAGGCCGATGATTTATTGAAGGGATTAGTGAATCTAAAACCGAAAGTACTTTAAAATGTCAATATTGTACAATATACACCGTAAACTCACTTATCCAGTCGACGATGAAGGTCTGGGCTTTGATCATTTCCTTGTCTAGGTAGCAGTAGTAGAATCCGAAGCGGTCAGGTGGTTTTTTAAACCTGTATTTTGCCATTATCATCCCACCAACTTTCCGAATGGCTGAAATGATTCCAAAAATAAGATGTTTGCTTACTGAATATTATGGACATCGATGAAGGCGTGTCGCTTAAGGGTTACAAAAATTCGATCAGTGTAAATCAAACAGAATTCTGAAATAAATCTGAAAATCTTAAATTCTTATGATGACTTTCAATGCTTGCTTTTAGAATCTATAAGGAGATATTTTGAGATCTAAGAATACTTCTTCTGAAGCATTTTGCTCAGTTCAGAAAAAGCCTAAGTAGCCAAGTATGTCCTATATGCACTTCGCAATAATTGGCCGCATACCACTATAAATCATACCCCAATACATAGTGCGAAAAGACCAATAGTTGCAGAACAAAATAAAGGCCAAGAACTTACCACATTTGCTTTTGTCGGCCGTCCCAGGGGCTCGCGTTCCACTGCAAAATTGTTCTTTGTTTTGATAGCAACTAATCTGTAAAAGGAGGATAAAATATAGTTCAAACACGCTAATTTTTATTGTTTGTTATCAGGGGCAATAGGCTGTGTATAACATACATCCTTTAAGTCTTCCTCCTCCTTGGTATTGACGTACCAGGTCAGTATAACGTCTGTGAATTCCGTGCAGATGTCCAAATGATCGGTTGCTGTCACGTAAAAGCTAGCTAAAAAAATAATATGATCTTAAAATGGAAGTCTAAGGGATGAGGGAAACAGCCAGAATCATTTTTCCCGCGAAAAATTTGTACAAAACAATTACATCAGGGAGCGAAAAAAACTACTTACGGACAGTTTTGTCTTTTGGTTTGTGGAGAGTTATTGGACAGGTATCTTTCAGCATAACATACGAAATGTTTTCAACATTGAGAAGATACAGATCAGTCGTGTAAAGACCCTTTTCTAGAAAAAAGACAGTCAGCTAGAGTTACTACTTTACAAAATGTGCCATATAGTCTACTCTTGATTGGATTCTTAAAATAACTGTCAATTGTTTTAGAGGTAAACCTCAGATGTCGTTGCCTAACAGGAAGGCAAGCAGTCAAACAGAAACAAACTAATATTAGACCCTAATATCTTGGAGCAAAACATTTTTAAACTCAAGGAAGAAATGTTTATTGGAAGGAGCAAGTTGAAAAATTGGGAACATACGTTCTCCATAAGGACATCTAAAATAATCCTGCTTGAGTGTGCACCAGCCTCTTGACCAACGATATGTCCCAAAAGGTTCGTCATTTATATAGCCGTTCTGAAAGGCATGAATAATACTTTGCGATTAACGTGTATTTAAGCATCTTAATATGGCTATTTACAGTCCATTTGTGTGTAACTAGAGTTTTCTGAGGTTCCGCCAAGTTTCTTTACAAATACTGAACTATATCGCATTATACAAAAGGGAATATATGGTTTTTGCATAAAGAGCCCTCGGAATTCCCAAACGGGTTTTCCCTTAAATTGAATTTTAACACTATCAGAACTCACTCGGTAACCGTAATATAGCGGCACTGTTATGTTGAGCTGTCCGGTTGCCTCACTCGGAATAAGACGGTTGCTCCATTTGCAAATGGTCTCCCCATACCTGCAAGCAAATTATATGTATATTAGGCATCGAAGCAAGCCAACTACGTGAACTACTACAGATATGCACAAAGAATGTGCAGTTCCTGTTCAATGGACAGC